GTTTTATACTATTACKTTATGATTGTAAGTGCTTATTTCAATATTTTTTTAAATTTATTCATTTTCATCATGTTTGAGCAGTAAAAATGATTATATTATGTGGTTTATCAAAATCCAATTTTTGTTGTTGAATTCCAAGTATTTTCAAAATAATCGTGAAAAAGTAAAAACAAGTTATGCAAACTGAGAATATTTATACAACAGTAGTTTATTACAAAATCAAGTAGTTTTAACTAGTTTGTAGTTATTCATAGAAGAATGACCACAGATACTTGAAATTTTCAACAAATTTTTTGTGTTAGAATTTTCTAGACATTATATTATAATTTATAAAATTTAATATATTTATGTTGATAAAAAAAGTTATTAAATGAAATATTAGGTTATTCGTTAAGCCATAAGTGGTTAAAAGTAATTTAAAAATATAAAGTTGAAGTCACATTTTCAAATTTTTACAAAATTAGTTAGATATTTAAACGAAAAATAACGATTTTAGCTAGATATATTTTGTAATTAAAAATACTTTAACTGAAAGTTTTCAAAACTTTCATCCACATCGTAGATATATTTTAATTTTTATACATCATTAATATAATAAATAAATTAAAGGCTATTTATACTACAAATATATTCAAATTATACGTTACGTTGGTATTGACATATATTTTATAACTTATAACAAAAGCCCAGATAAAAATGTCTTAAAACAATTGCATTTTAACCATAATAACTTGTATTTAAAAATCACCAAAAAATGAATTTAACACTTCTCTAGCAAACGAAAATGCAAATTTATCGAAATAAACACAGAATGGTGGCGTAATGCAAACTGACAATAATTCGTGGTTATTTGTTATAATTTAAGATACACAACAGTCATTAAGCGCACTGTAGCTGATAAAAAAGGCGAAAACGATATCAACGTATCGTAATAATTAATAGTTAATAATAAATAGTCAAAACAACATTTCTTGAACTAATATTTTGAATTACCAGCTAAGTGTAATCTTAAAATTCATATAATGTTTAAATATGCACTAACAATCAACAAAATCATACATAAAAAACATAAAAAACGTCTAACAAGTATAAAACTATTAGAAATAAAATGTAAAAGTTTAAGTTTTAAATGATTTTGTACTTGAAAAGCATTAATCTGAACTTCCCAAAAATAATGTAGATTTCATTCAAATCCGAGCACTAAATAGTCTAAATATAAATTATAAATTACTTACCATAATATATGATATCATCATGAAATCTTTTATATAGCAAACCCCGACTTTATTTTTTAAATATTTTTGTATTAAATAACTAAGATCCGTACATAAAATTGATACAATAACTTAAGTGAATAAGTAGTGTGTTTCAAATATGCATTAAATGAATGTAAAACTATTTAAATACATAAGTAAAAATCAAATGGTTGATATATACCTATTACATACACATTTAAACATTCTCGTAAACATTTATGATACAATACTTCATAATTAAGTAGGAAATATATATTTTGTTTAATCGCACAGACCTATTATTTAATTGCCTATTAATTAAATTAAATTTACACTTATTTAAATTTTTTGAATTTGTGAGCTAAAAACGTTATTTTATTGAAAGAAGGAGTTCAAATTTTTTTCTACTATATTCTACTATAATTTTTTAGTTATAGTTATATGCGAAGTCAAAAAGTCGGATAATTTGTTTTTCTGTGCAATTATTTTATAGATTTCAAGTTTTTCAAATGTATTTCGTCATTTAGTAGGATGGTATATCGTATATTACACTATTTCAATAAGAGTTGAATTTGATAAATTATTGTATACAAAAAACGAGCTGAGACGATCTATCAACCTATATATTTTTCTTAAAATAACTTATAATTTTCCTTGAGTAATATGGTAGATCATGCTAATATTTCCCATAAAAAATTACACACTTTCAAGTAAGCACTTACGTAACGTACAACGATCATCGTTTTCATCCTTTAAATAACGTTTTCCAACGATATATAGGCAGTGGAAAAATAATATTGATTTAAACAATAAATTAATTTAATTTTAATAATAATTTTTTTTATAAGATATTATTTACTTAAGTTCATTATCTATAACTATTAGGTATATTAGTTAATAGTTAATACATACAATTACTGACAAACCAAATGCACTTTAATAGATTATCAATCGCAGCATAGCTTTATATTTTTTGATTGCTATAAGACCAATTATGAAGGATACTGCAATATAATACATTTAATCTTTTTATAAAAACAGTTTTATCGGTATAAAAATATTATTTATTACATTTAAATTGAAAAGAAATCTATAATTTCAATAGTTTAAAAAGAGTAAAATAATTTTGAAAATTAATTTTATTATGTTTAGAAAATGTTTGAATCTGTTGAAAATTTTAATTATTCGTTTCAAATATTCACAAAAAGAAAATCAATTTTTTCGTAAACTGGTGGTGTAACATAAATATTTCAGGTTCTTTTTTGTTTACCTGCAGATTATTAAAAAAAAAAAACACTTGGAGTTTTTTGATCTCCTAAAATACCAACTAGAACTGATTTTCTACCAGATACAAACTTCTAAAGTGAAAATTGCAGCAATTTTACTGCTTCAAAAGGTTAAGCAATCAAACTACACAAAAAAACTATTCACTTAACAATATTTTAAAACCAATGCATTCATTGCTTTTTCGAGAATTTTAAATAGGTACATTAAAAATATATGTTTACTGTTTAGGTATTAAAAAAAATAATCTTTACTCATAGATTTTTAAATTAATGCAAGCGTCCAAAAGTTTTTTAGAACAATGACTCTCACTGCTTTACTGTAATACAAAAATAATTATTTGAAATATTTTATGGCTCAATTTAAAGATAAATGTATGGGTTTATCTAAATGTTAACAATTAATAACTAAACTCACTACCTAAAGGGTAAAATATACATATTATAATATTTTAACTATATAAGTGTACTTAATACTTTATAATTATTTTTCATTTGTTGATACATTATTAATTAAATTACCTTAACATATAATATATAAAAACAATAATACGGTTTTCTGTGAATTTCTGGATTTTTAGATAAATACCGTATGAAGTACTGAAGGTTGACGCTTAGAATACGTAGAACACGAATCTATAATGTTATGATATACCTATCATATTATACTTCCACGCTGATGGGAATCGAATCCTATGTTTTTCAATGTAAATGAGATACCTACGACCTATTTATCTCTACTGATTGAAATAATTATTTTTTTAATAATTAAAATACGTATATCGTAGGTTGGTACAAATACTAATAATATTTGTTTGTATTTTTGTAAATTTAAAAATATCGTTATTAAATAACAGTTATAGCACTATAATATAGCAGCTATTTTTTATCAGCTACATTTATAATAACTTGCCTATGTACATCACCTTGGCCTTATCATACTAGATAGTGAAAACAATTTTGAAATTTACGACCTGTGCTCGAACTTCATTATTCAAAAACTTCACTTGTAAAAATAAAACACAACTCGACTGAGAATGAAAAATTTAACTGCGTGTGAATGTTTACCGCATATAGTATGGCGCATAGATGATACATATATACACCTATGGGCTGATTATTATTATTAGCAATTACAGATCACTAAAATGTCCTTAACACGGACGTCAGATCACTGTTCTACGCATACATATTATTATGGTTATTTTATATATAGGTAGTGATGGATCTAGGCCAACATAGAATAATAATAATAATATTATAAAATTTAACATAATATCATATTATTTCATATTATGTATAGATACATAGGCACGACATTGATATAATATAATATAATTTTATGACATTTTATATTTACTGAAAAATATCTATCGGCAGCGGCGAGGGAAAATAACATCCATACACGTTTTCAACCCAATCGTAGGCACGATAATTATTTTATACAATATTTATTAAGTAGGTATATTATGTAGTTACGCGTTTGTGTCACAAAAATATATACATTTTTTTAAGTTATCCTTTCGGTTGGTGGCCTAGAATTGGTCCCATTAGCTCAAAATATCCATAATAGTACATTTTCCTTCACCACAACTATTCGGTGTGCAGTAGATTATTATGAAGGTCGGCCAGCCTATGTATAATATTGCCAATATTGGGTTTGTAAAGTATAAACTCAACTGTGGGCACGGAAATGACGCAGGTATAATAAAAAAAAATGTCAATATTAGTCTGGAGAACACGATAATCTTTCTGAGTCTTTTTACGAACATATTTGTAATTCTACTCATTCAAATATATTGTACACCTATTCCTTTATCGACAAATAATTATTAAAAGAAATACAAACCGAATCCATTAACGAAATAAGCAGCATGTAGCGTCCATCTAATACCAGATCGCATAGTATATTATGAAAAATCACTGACAACTATCTTACAAGTTACAACGAATTTTTTAGGGAGCTTTTTTAGGGACCATCCCTTAAACAAAATTGAGTGAAGAACACGATTCGTACATTAAATTAATACCTACATTTTGAATTCAACCCCCTATATGTAATATTTTAATATAATTTATACTCAAATACTTAAAATTACAAAATATCAACATATTAAAGATTCCGTATAAAATACCTATAATAATGTACGTAATTTCCTATTATTTTGAAATTATTTAATACATTTTGCTTTTCTAAATATTTAAGTACAAACTTTCTTCATATTATGCATTGAAATAAAACAAAAATGTAAAAATAATATAACACTCTTAGAGGATAGCATAAATTATGTACTTTAGATTCAGGAATAAATTCACATTGTGATTCTCAAAAATAAAAACTGCAGCACTATCTTTATCTATAATAATAATACAAATCGGCGCTCAGATATTTTTAAAATATTTATGCTACCTGAAAAGTCGAGGTTTATATATAATAGTTTATAGTTTTCATATAATATTACAATATTAATTGTATACTAACCTATATAATTTTGGGTCTCGAGTCTTGTAAAACGTAATCATCGCAACGTACTCACTGCATATCATGGGCTTCGCACTAGCACTTCTAAATATATACATTAAGTGTATTACGCGCGCGTAACGTGACTTATATTTTATTATCAAATAGCGCAGTCGTGTTAAAATTTAATATATTATAATATTAAATGATTAGGTCACATGAAAATACTCGTATTTACGATAATATAATAATTATAATAATGTTATCGTTGCACCGTTATCGTATAGGATAAATTATAGTATAGTAACGATATTTTTATGTTTCGTAAAATGCTCATAAGGACGCATACGCTGTACAGGACCGTCGCGCCGTATTGATGGACGCGAACGAGTTATGGTGGTCGATGTGGGATTTTTCGTTGGAATACTATGCCAGCGTGTATTGAAGTCGGTGTGGTGTAACATCGCGCAACATTTGTTTTTATTTTAGAGCGTACGGACGAATAACTATACAGCAACGTCGTCGGTGGCGGCGGCATGAAACCATGTGATATTATAGTGGCATACCGCCTCTTCCTCGTGTAATATAAAGTCGCCACTGCCGAGCTGTAGCGACTCACACGCAATCCAGACGACTGACCACCCCACCTGCAACCCGACGACACTAAAATTTAATACAATTCGGTTTTGGGCGCTTTTTTTTAGTTTAATTTTTTTTTACGTCTCGAGTAGCTTGCGTTCAAAAACAAAATAGCCGAAGATTGCGTATAATATCGCTACACTATTATATAATATACATTTTGTGTACTCACTATGTTAATTTCTCCCGTATCGTTCTCCGGGCAGACGATTGCGAACGGTCATCGCTAGTTTTTTTATAATAATAGGTAGGTTTATCATCGAGTAGCTATTGTTTCAGTTGGGTCGTATAATTATTACGTGTAACGTGGGTAGTATATTATTATGATCGTGTCTATGACAGCTGCCACCTTGTCTGCGACCGGAAATCGTATCCTGGATCGTCGTATAGGCGCAGATATCTAATCGTCGCGTCGGCGGGACAACCGAGGAGCGATTCGAATGACCTTGTTAATAATTTTCCACCCCCATCGAATGACCTTTTCACCCGCCTCTACGATGCCCTGTTGTATAAAAACATTAAAAACCCCAACAATAATATTATAGTTACGTAATATCATAGTAATAATTTTATMGTACGAGCGTGGTACGTGTTGCCGCCGCAGAGTGGATAGTAAGTAGGCTTTCACCGCACATGGATCCACCGTACGATATTTATCGTCGTCATGACGTAGTAAGCGCAACGATTATATTATTACTATTATTATTTTGTTGATGGCGGCAATGTTGCGTCGTACCTTGCAACCTAATATTATCGTTGCCGTGCAGTCGTGCGCAGTGCAAACGAGCAGCCGGCCAGTCGTGTCCGYGATCCTTTCCGAGTACGGTTTGAATGAAAACGAAAATACGTGAATCCTACGCAGTGATTTCCACACATACGTGTGCAGACGAATATAATCCAATCAAGTTGTCTATGCCCGAAGGTTATACGATAATATTATAAGCGTTGAGCATAATATTATCACTGTGTATCCTTTGTTTCAAAAGTAATATCTTACCGAGAATTCGCGTTGTAACCGAACCGCGGTATACACACCGCTACGATACCACAATCGCGACTGTCGTTCCGGGCATTAGTCCAACAACTTATACCGAGGAGGGGATACCAGCCAACCAAAGGTAATTTGGAATTTATCACAAAGTATACGTCTCGTACTAGTTGGTAAACTGAGTCCCATCATCATGCATGTATTTTTAGGCCGACTGCGAGTCACATAATATATAAAACAATTGCTTTCGATCGTCCGACAGACCGCTGCTGCTGATTAAGCCTTAAAAGGACACTATACAACCATTTGTTGTCTCCGCCTTACAAGTGCATAACATAGCAAATTTACGTTCAGCAAATTACGTTTAGCTCCGTTAGTTTAAAAATTAGAGTGAATCGACCTATTATGATGCTTGATGTTAACATTATCTGTGCTTGTATGTGAGTTTTTTTTTATAGTTCACTTTTGTAGTAAGTTATGCTTATACAAAAAGCACAAATTAAAAATACTCATATATTCACTTAAAAACCAAGTTATCGTAAAAACTAATATACAAACACAGATTCTTACCATTAAGTTTCACAATAGATAAATTTATTCTAATTTTTAAACTAACGGAATTAAATGTTAAGCGTAAATTTGCCATGTTACGCAATTGTAAGACTGAGACCACAAAAATGTGTGTAGCTTCCTCTTAAGCGATTAAGTTTTAAGAATAACATAATCGAATTAGTTGATGTTTATTTGTTTTTAGCTTAGGTTCTTGATTCGCTCGACAATAGATTCGCTATTTAATTATTTAACTCTGAAAATTGTTGAATAATTCGCATATACTAGTACTAGTATTGTACATATTATGTGCAATTTTAACGATTATAATGAATCAATTAATATTAGTAAAAATTGGCACATAGTATTTTAAAATGTGTACCTACTACCTAAGTACCTAAAAAAGATACTCGTATTACAATCATATCAATTTAACCACATTCTAGGACTTAATAGATTCGCACCAATTATCACTGATAAAATATTCTTATTTTTATAGAAAAAAAGGTTTTTTTAATATTATAATTACAACTTCTAATATTTATTTTGAATTCAAACAATATATTTAATAATAAATAATAATATGTTGTTAATTTTGTATTTAAGATTTGGAAACAATATTTTTATTTCACTTACATCACATTTTAACTAAACAAAATATCGGTAAATAGGTAATTAAATAATTATCCAATAGTATTCGTATCTAAAACTTTACATTTTTTCAGTAGAAACTTAAAAATAATTTTGCATCATCAAGTAGTTACTAATTATAATCAAAATATGTTCAATTGTATTAAACAATGATTTTATGGTATTCTACTGCATTATACTCGTGTTTTATGTATCTACTTTTTTATAATACTCTATAAAATAAAATAAATTTGTAAACATTTTAATAAGACACGAAAATAACACTTATCATTTCTAAAATATTTAAAATATTAAAATATCTATGTATATTCATAGAATTACATGGCAACGTATTTAATTGTTGATGGTGAAATTTAGTTTAAATCGATTTAAGTCAAATTGATGGATTTTCCAGTGTCATTAATTAAATTGAATTAATTTTAACCATTTAATTAGGTATCTGTAGTATTAAATACTATTAACGTTTGGGACTCTGTTTACCATCACCAAATTCGAAGTTGGACTAAAATACTCAATTTATCAGTTAATAAAATAATAATATAATATCATGTGCATATTCGTATGATGATACCATTGAGCAACACAGTACAATATTATGTCCACATTATAATATTATTATTTTCCTTTACCGGACTGTCTACGTTCCCGCATTTTTTTATGTTTAAAATCATGCGGAAAATATTATGATAAATTCCACAGGTATTAGTTTTTACAAAGTAGTTAAAAAGAGTTAACAAAATTCCATTGGTTTTTGATTCCTAATTAGTTCATGGTTCATTATACAGTTGTATTTATAATAAATTATTAATTGCATGAAATAATAATATTTTTACTAAGTGCATGTAATTATAGATACATAAGTCATATAACAGCCATATATTAAAGGCACTTCAGAACTATACTAATCAACTATTATCTATTTGTTTGTAAAATGTACAACACAATGTAAAACGTGCGTGTGATAGTTGTCCAGCTATCTGCCTATATGTATCTTGTCCTAATTTTTAGGTTTATTTTAATAATAGTAATAATTTTTGGTATAAATAGAATTGAAAATATGTTAAAAGACGAAAGATTGTAGGCATGGCGTATACAGCCTTTTTTTATGACGGCTGTAAACATTCAGAAGTCTGACATAAAGTAGTTAAGTAATAATAATAGAATATTAACATTTAAAACTTAATATTTTAAAATTATTTCATATATACGTTTAATTGCATTTTGTAATAAAATAAATGTATAAGTTAATAACTAATAATAATAGTAAATCTGTATTTTTTCATTATTCGCTACAAATACCTGGTTTAGTTATCATACTTCATTATATTTTGGTATTTAAAGATAATCGTGATGATTTATTATGATTATTTGTTGGGTAACTCATTATAAATTATAAAACCGATAGTACTTACGTTTTTAATTAATAAATATTTAAAATAACAAAAACAAATGACTTAAGCGTATTAACTAACTTGAATTCAAATTTATTGAAAATATTAACTAAAAACTAAATAAGTTAATAATAAAAAAAAATGTAAAGTATGAAGTAGATAACAGATCTGCTACAGCAATGGGTTATTCCAAATAATTATTATATATTAATTATTTTTTCCGTTTATTATAAAAAGTGATGAAAATTATTGATTTTTATCTTCTAAAAGTAATGTCCTAATACAAATAGTCTATCAGAAACTTCTATCAAAGTTGATGATTAGAATATTTTTCTATTGTGCTTACGGACTCATATAAAAACACAAATCATTTAAAAATCAATATATTAATCGTTCCGCCCAGAATCTAAATTAAATAATTTAACTAAAAAAAAATGATGAAAATAAACTTATTCATGAATTAATTTGCATTGAAGAATTTTTATAGCATTATATCCAGTATTGTATACGAATCAAATTAGTTAAAATTTGTAATGGGTCGAATTTAAGAAAAAAACACGGTCGTTTATTTATCCCTGACTACCTATGTCTTATAGGTACGTATATGTTTGCAGAAGTCAGAATATGTTCCCAAATGTTGTAAATTCCTTCGCAATCTTTGGCCAAAGCTATAATTAGGGGGGTAGATATCAATGCTCTTATTATATAGATATCTATAAATTGATGATAAATATCGTAGGTTATAGTTAGTATATTGGCGTACTTAATCCACATTCTTTTTGTCGCTACATTGAAATGGCAACGACATAAATTGCATATATTTATGCAATGACCTCCAAACAGTCCAAACTATTGCGTGATTGTTGTAATTATTGATAGTCGGTGGTAAACACATCTTTTTATATGCAAATATATTTTATTCTTATATTATTTTTTTTTATTAAATAAATAAGTTCAAATAACCCTCGGTAACTTGGCCATTGGGATAAGATGCATTTTTTTTTTCAAAGGTGTTACATAATAATAAAGAAAAGATTTAATAACAATAACAATAAATGCCTAAATCATATGATAATAATAATGATAAGGTTTTGTTTTATTTTTTTTAAATGATTAAATAAGTTTGTCCTGTCCTGTCTCCTGAAGAAACACGAATATATATATTCTGATATTATTATAATTATTAGGCACATCATGACACACAAATATCCATAAACCATATATATATATATATATATATATAAATATGCAATATTATAAAGTAGTATTCATAATTTAATATTGAATAAAGTGCATACTGTTAAAATGCCACGATTTGTTAGACAATGACTAAATTGATAGATGGTTAATATAATTGCATTATATTTTATATTTTGTGATGATGTAAACATTAACTAGAAATGTTATAAGTTGTCTAAACTATCATATAGGTCATAACTATATATTATACCTAGTCACCAGTCAGTTTGATAAACAATGTATTCACTTTTTATACTATTTCCTTATTTTCATTGAGACGGTCTGAACTTGACTTACTCATCCCGTATGCTTATCTGTATCTACCCAAGTGCCTGTATTACAAAATTCGTCATTATCTTTACGATTTTCACAATGCAAATATTTTTTTTAAACTCAAATCTATTTGAAAAAAAGGACACAAATATAGGGATCACTTTTTGTCCTCTTCGGGAAACAGCTGCGTTAGTATTAGTATTACTGGCCCACAGAGATTTTAAAGAAGAGAATGTAAAATTAAATGTAACATTAATAAGTGTGCCTGTCATGGAAGTAATTAAATATGTAACTCAAATGTCTGTTTGACAATTTTCTACCATAAACCATCCTCACGGTTGAAGATTGAAGCACTATCTTGAGCTACAAAGTCATTATAGTACCTTATGACACACAAACGATGGGTTTTCAGTTTTATTTTGCATACGGTCAACATCTTTTAACTTGCTTATTTATTCTATCAAATAATGAAATAACTGAACACTAACTGAAATTTAAGTGATCAAACAGATGATATTATAGCACTCGTTATTAGTATTTATTGCATAATATGTAGCAGTCATTATTAGCTATATATTAGTTGATTTTGAAAAAGTTTTAACTAATTATTGTCAGAAAAGAACAATTTCTGAAAGATTAAGTATTCTGTAACAGCGTATATTGGGTATATATTATTATGAGTTGAAATAATAGAAACCACATAGTCAATTATGAAGTTTAATATATATTATTGAAATTCATCAACAAATACATAAATCAAAAACCTTTGTTACAAGTTACAACAGGGAATATCACAATTATTGTAAATATAGGCAAATGCACCAAGATGAAAATATATAATTAACAATTTGTGTAGTAACTACACTTTAGTGAATATAAATAACATTTGTCCGTATGAATAAATAAATTAAAAAACTAAGTACCTATATCTTTCTATTTGCATGATTTAACATTAATTATGTCAACTAAGTCCAACTATGTATACTATTAAATCGAGACTTATAGGACGTAATGCATACTCGTAATGTATAATGTCTTAAATAATATTAATAACTTATTATACGTTGTTAATTTTGCTTTGTTAGGAAAAGTTGGACTAGATTGAATCACATTAATAAGCCCACGGTAAATCTCGGTAGATGCAAGAATTGTACCTCGTAATTCTCGTGGCAAACGATTAATAGCGTCCACCGATTCCAATTGATGTTTGTCGGCCAACGATATCATCATCTGAGCGTATCTTTGTAACTTTTTATCTCCCATGGACCTTGGATTTTTTTCCTCACAAAAGATTTTAATATCTTCTTTTTCGTTATCCATACATTCAATAGGGAAGTAACATCGACCGCATGATTCACTGTCGCGGACGAGATCCCGGGCAATGTTCACAAATTGTAATCCCTACGGAAAACAATTGCAAACACATTCGTAAATAACATTTTTTTTTTTTAAATTGGTGACTAAAAACTTACGTTTCCTATCTGATAAGATTTTTTAACTAGATAATCGTCTTTTTCAATAAAATCGTACTTGTCAATATTGTATCTGTACATGATTATATACACACACATTGCACCGAAACTTCCGGCCACAAGTTTGAAATATACCAGTAAATCATTTTCGGTTTTATACAATGTTAAGTTGAGATCTAATTCAAATCCTTCAAGTAACTCTTCAAATGGCTTACGAGGCAAAAGAAATGCTATTCTCGAGAAGGCTCGGAAAATTGCCAATTCTTCTTCTGTCAACTCGTACTCGTATTGTTTCCAATTGATGATCATTTCATGTGGTTTGGAATGAACTTCAAAATCTGATTTTCTGTCAGCGAAAACTTCATCGATAAATTTGTGACAGAGTTTTAATTTTACTTTTTTAATTTCTAAGTCTGATTCATCATCAATCATGTTATCCGTAATACGAGTAAATCCGTATATAATTAAGAAATCTAATCGGATTGCTAAAAAAAAACTATCAGGTATCAACCAACAGTATTATAATACATTTATTAATATATAGTTTTATAATGTTATTTATAAAGAGCAATTTAAAGATGTCCTTAATTTGTACATTATACAAATAATATTTATTTTAAAATTTAGGATACATAATTTATATTAAAACACTCCAGACTATGTTATCAAAAATTATTGTGAAATAATTTCAAGTACGTATTTACAAAGTAAAATCTTGTCATAAAATATGTTCTATTATAATACTATTTTTAATATTATTTTTATGGATATAATTTTTATAATATTTTTACTTTGTGAAATTATTATGTAGTAATTGAGTAAAAATTGTAAGGCAATTCGTTATTAATAATTAATTATAAAATAAATATATCGGTTGATATCTGTTTAAACGATTAAAAAAGAGAAGTATTTAAAATAAAAAATGCATTTAACATACATTTTTTTATAATTTTTCATACTCACGTTTAAATTGTTTTTGGTGATTTTAAAATTAAATCAATGTTTGAACTAAATATACAGACAAGACTTAAYACCTAATTTAGTCAACGTCATTGCATTAATAAATAATTTGAATAAAATATGTTTT